GCTAAGGGGAGGTTTACTAAATGGAGGTTTGTCCACCGCCGAAAGTGCATGTTTGCGCCACCGTCTGTGCCCTTGGCTCCCCGAGGTACATTGCCACCTTCGACGCGGCCCCCAACAGCGCCGTTGCCTACCCCGCGCTGCTGCACCACCTGGCCAGCGTGGGGCTGCCCCCCGCCGCGAGGGCCAGCACCGGCGGCGCACGCGGGGGGGCGGCGCGAGGGTTAGTTCAGTCGGGCCTGTGCCTCCCACAGGAGGAATCTTCGAAGCGAGTCCAAAGTAGCCTGGGGACGATGTTTTGATTGTTTTTGACCATGCGGGGGTATTTTTCAGAGCCCCGGATCATCCGGGGTAAATCGGGTCAGGGTTAACTCGGGTTCGTTTTTCGGGATTCCGAACCAGAGTTATCCCGGACCCAAGTTACCCCGGATATTTCGGGCGTCCAGAGCCCCGAATCATCAGGTGTAACTCGGGTCAGGGCTAACTCGGGTTCGTTTTTCGGGAACCCAAGCCCGAGTTACCCCGGACCCGAGTTACCCCGGATAACTCGGGCGTCCAATTTTCTTTTTGTATTTTGAAAAATCGCCCAAAATCCCATTGTAGGGGGACAGGCCCGACCGAACGCGAGGGGCGGGGGCGGCCCTCGGAGCAGGCGGGGGCCCCTCCGAGAGAGGGGGGGCACGGGCCCTCTCGGAGGCGCAGCGCCTCCCCGGCCTACGAGGGGAGCCTCCTCGGAGGCCCTCGCGATCGGGCACCTCTCGGAGGGCCTTTTTTGGCCTTCTGCGAAGGCCCCCCCCGCCCTTCTTCTGAGGCCTCGGAGTCTGCTACCCTGACTCCGGATCCGCCCTACTTCTTGGCTTTTTTCCAACTTAAAGTTGCGTCGGATATCCACCTAGAAGAGGCCGAAAAAGTAGGGCGGAAATTGCCGCACCCAACATAAAATAGGGCGGAAATCCACAGAAACAGCAACAGAAAAGTAGGGCGGAAATTGGCATCATCGGGGCTTGAAAAGTAAGGCGGAAATTTCAAGCCCTACTTACGAATTTCCCCAAAGTAGGGCGGATCCGGTGTCAGGGTAGACCTCCTACCCGGACGCGTCGAGGAGTGGACTGGGCGTTCTCGGTCCGCGAGGGGGCGTCGCGGCCGCTCTCTCTCTGCGGGCCCGGGCCCGGCGGTTTCGGTCCTGGGCCGTTTTCCCTGCAGGGTGGTTTGTCCTTTTGCCCTGAATCAGAGCGTGAATTACCCACCCCGCTTTCGCTTCCAGGCAAAACCAAGTCATGCCACGCGCCTCCTCGTCAAGCGGCTTGACCAATACAGGCCGTAGTCTGGCATCACTTGGTATCTCTTGCAAGCGAGGGTGGTCAAAAGCGAGGCAGGTTTGTTTGCCCCCTATTGAAGGGTGGTCTACTGCAGGGAGGCCTGTCCACCGCCGAGGGGCCGCCCTCCGCGCGCCGCGCCCTCGTGCGCGCCGCCGGCCGTCTCCGTGTCGCTGCGCTTCGCCCTGTGCTCGCGGAAGCAGCTCGTGGCGGACGGGGCGGGCGCGGCCGTCGAGCTGTGCCACCCGTAGAGGCCGGGCGGGGGGGGCGGCGCCACGTGCCCGCCACCACGGGGGCCTGCCTCCGGCGAGGCGGCCCACGGCGCCACCCCGAGCCAGCGCATGGGGCTCGTGTTCTAAGAGCACTGCTTTTGTTCTTTAGGACATGGTGGGGTTCTATAAGAACACTTCGTGGTAGGACCATAGGAATGCCGGGACAGGAATGTTCTCAGACCAGGTTCTTAGAGCATTTTTGGGTTCTAAGAACATTTCGTGGTAGGACTATAGGAATGCCGGGACGGTCGGTCCCTGCTCAAGCTGTGCACCCTCTTTCGCCGCCGCCCGCTCCTCCCGCCGGTGGTGGCGGTGTGGTGGCTCAGAGATCGGGTCCTGAGGGTCAAGCAGTGGCGAAGCGTCCCAGCGTGCCTGTAGGCCCACCAAAGAATGCTCTAAAGACCTTTTGTGGTCTCCACGAAATGTTCTCAGACCATTTCTGTCGGAGTCTGTCTTTCTTTAGCACATCGGGTCTATCTTCTAAGAACATTGTTTTTGTTTTTCGAACATTCTTGGGTTCAAAGAACATTTCGTGGTAGGACTATAGGCTATAGGAATGCCGGGACGGTCGGTCCCTGCTCAAGTTGTGCACCCTCTTTCGCAGCCTCCCGCTCGTCGCGCTGGTGGTGGCGGTGCGGTGGCTCAGAGATCGGGTCCTGAGGGGTGGGGCCCAAAGGGGGAGGTGCCCCCCAAACAATGTATGCCTCCAGCATCGGATCCCGTCCGATCCCGGGCCCCATGCCCTCAAGGCCCCACCCATCTTTGAACCGCCGGGAGGTGCCGCTTCCTTCAAGCACACGATCGGCGGCACCCCAACATGCTGATACTATGTGTGCGCCGCCCTCCTGGGGCGCAGCGCGCCCCGAGGAATCTTGTGGTATATGTGCGTCGTGGCGGGCGCTTCCTGGCCGCATCGCCCAGGAAACGATACACTACAGGATGGTTTTCCTCTATCCGAGCGTTTCCTTTGGGTGGAGGGCAAAGGGTGAAATCTGAACTGCCCTCTCGATGGACGTCCGAGGCTCGAATCTGCGACGGGTGAATCGCAAGACGGATCGATCCTCGAGGTGCAGATGCCCCCATAGGGATGCCACCCCGAGCCCTCCGCCCAGAAGAGCATGCTCAGTCCATGCCCGGGCCTGGCGCACGCCTTCGATCGGAGGACGCACGGCCCGGGCACGTCCTGCCGCGCCCCGCGCGAGGGAGGCGCCGCGGTGCCGCGGGGCGAGCCGGAGCCTCCCCGGCCACGGCGCCCTCCCGGGCGCCGCCCGCGCGGGACCCCCGCGCGGCCCGCGAGGGCCGCCCGCGGAGGCTCGCTCGCCGTGCGCGCTCGCGCCGCGGCGCGTCGTCCGAGCGCCGGAGGAAAGAAGAAGCGCCCTCCCCAGGGGTGTATAAGAACAGTCGGGGGTGGGCAGAACCCCCAACAGTGACACGTCGATTAGTGAATGGTCCGTGTTTTCGGTTCTCGAGGGGGCGCCGTGGCCGTCGTTTTCCAGGCCTGCGCCCGCCAGGTTTGGGCCTCAGGTCGTTTTCACTAAACCACGTTTTACTAAAGGGGGGTCTGTCCATCCCCGAAACAGCCAACAAGCACGACAAACATTTCAGGATGCCCGCCGCAAAGCGACCTCGATCGCGGAGCTCCCCTCGTCATCCCCCCCCCCCCCTCTTGGACGCCCCCGAACTTGCTCCAGAAGAAGAAGAAACGCCACAAACATAAACTGGTGGCGCTCCGCGCGGATTTCTTGGATCCGCGCTGGGCCCCCCTTGGGCGGCGCCTCCGGCGCCGCCCCTGGCGCGCGGAGCGCGCCAGGGAGGGGGGTCCAGCGCAGATTCAGGAAGTCCGCACGGAGCGCCACAATTTTATGTTTATGGCGTTTTTTTGTTCCTTCTAGAGCAGGTTCGGGGGCGTCCAAGAGGGGGGTGATGACGAGGGGAGCTCTGCGATCGAGGTCGGTTTGCGGCGGGTCTCCCAAAAAATGTTTGTCGTGCTTGTTGGATGCTCTTATACGTTCTGGGGAGGGTGCGCTTGGCTGTTGTGGTCGTCTTGGCCAACGGAGGGTCTCAGGCTATTGGGGGATGTTCTTCTGGCCTAGGTCCGACTGCACGGTAGGTCAAGGGTCAGGTTCAAGCCCGTGCGCCGGAGGTCGAGCCCATGCAGGGCGCAGGCGGTGGCAATCGGCCAGGGGTGATGACGAGGGGGTGTGACGACGAGGGGGGCAGGAGTGATGACGAGTGGGTGTGGGTACGATTCGAGTAGCTGATCCACTACGGAGTTGATTTACCCCAGAATTGAGTTGTTCGTCGACTCTGCAAGACAATCGCGGAATGCTCCATACATCTACGGAACAGTCGACCTACTTCGGGCAGATTCGAAGGGAAGTCAGGTTTGGGGTGAATCAGTTCTATAGTCCCCTACTCGAGCGGTAGAGGGACACAATTATCAGAAACTCCCCCACTTCCCGAAATGCAAAGTTGGCACGCGCGGGGAAGACTGCGTCGGAAGTGAAACTCATGCCGCCCACCGCCAACGTTGATCATTTGGGGTGGGGCGTTGGCAGATGAATGTGGCATGAGTGTTCGCCAATTTCTCCCGAGGCCTGTATCATGGCTGGGTCCACTGTATCTCCCAGATTTCCTTGCTCCCTATCCTTATTTCAATGCGTCCCCTTGCCCCCCGCCCCTTGGCCGCGCAGATGCGTCGGGCTACGAGTTGCGCACCCCCTCTTGGACGCCCCCGACAGTCCTCCGATCGACATCGGTGGATCGATCCCCATCCCCGCTGGAGAGGACAGATTTTTACCCCCTGGTGGTAGCAAGCGTTACCAGGGGGTGGGGTGGCGGTCACGTCACGATTCGCGCTTGCGCTGTCTGAGAATGCCTGATCCAGAATGGCTCATTCCCCAGACGGCGCCAGCGCGACTCGTGACGTGACAAAGGGGAGGGAAAGGGGTGGGGTCGGTGTCCTGGACCATGGTCCATGGTATCTCAGTCCCATCTGTCCACCCCGCCGGGTGGGGATATGCCCCGCGAGACCCGAAGGGCACAGCACATGTCTCTATCTGTTGGGGTGGATCGATGAGTGGGGACAAGGCCATGCCAGTGGGAATGGGGATCGGCTAAGCGATGCTCATCCGACAGAGGGCCAATATCCGTGGGAGGCAGCATGCTGGTCGGGCAGGGTGGAGGTACATGTTTCCAGGAGGTCGTCGACCAGGGCACGTTGTCGACGGCGAGGAGGCGGGTGCCAGTTGGACGCGAGGTAGGCTCCCGTAGAAAGGAGACTGGTGCCAGGCATGCTGGTCCTCAGCTAGGTCTTCCCCCTCCCAGGTTTCTCTCCCCGCGCCCTTCCCTCCCTGCCAGTCCGTCTCCCGCTCGGTCTTTCCCATTGCTATTCGTGGGCCCAGCTGGGCGCAGCATGAGCGAGCAGTGCCAGGCCGTGAAATGACGCTCGATGGACGCGAGCGTTGTCGTACACCTTGCGCTGCAGTTCCCTGTCCTCCTGTCCCTCTTCTCTCCATTCCTTCTCCTTGTAGATAACGCCTCCCTGTCGCACCCCGAGGGCGGTCGAACGAGCGGGCCGAGCGTTTCGCCTGAAACTTCTTCATTCTTTATGATTCCTGAAGCTTATTGGTAGCAGTTTCACCCATGGAGGGCGGGTGGTTGTCAAAATGTGGCTCGCGCTTGAGCGCCGCGCGCATTCGTTTCAAGTTTGCAAGATTTTCGCGGATTAAGGGCGGGTGATCTTCAACATGCAGTTCTCGCCTTAGCGCCGCGCACAATCGTTTTACCGATTTGTACGAGCTTCACGGATTAAGGGCGGGCCGTTTTCAAAATGTGGACCTCGCCTGAGCGCCACGGACATTTGTTTTCTGGAAAGAGTGCAAGAGTTTCACGGATTGAGGGCGGTTCCTTTTCAAAATGTGGTTGTCGCCCTAGCGCCACGCACATTCGTTTTTAAACAAGTGCAAGGTGGTCAGTGACTGTCATGGTTAGCGTGCCAGAAATAGTGTTCCGAAGCGATTCATGGTTGTCAGGGCGCAATCCTTCTTTTGATTCGCAGTGCTGCTGACCCAAAGATCAGGTTGTGGCTCAATTTAGAATCGCCAAGACGTAATAGTCAGGCTAATTTGTGGTGCTGCAGACCTGAGAACGGTGTTTCAGAACGCTTCAGGATTTTCACCGGCTTGTTTCCCAACGGGGCAATGCCCTCAATGGAAATGAACCCGTGTAGGGGCCTGTGAAGAGGGAGCTTGAAAGGAGGGTGTATTCCAACGTCGTTGATGAGTCTTGGGTTTGCACTGGTCCTCCTCCTTCTTCTCTCTCCTCCTCTTGCTTCTCCTCATTCGGTTTCGGCTTCATCTCCTGGCTGTTTCGGCTAGACATGTGAAACAGCCATGAGCAGCGTCGGACTTCACTACGATACATCTCCTGGCCTTGCCTTTGCAGGCAGAATTGGGCGAAGCACTGCGCCGGCCGAGATCAGGGCAGGCTTACGTCCGACCACCGGGAAGCCTTGTTGAGGCCAACGTGCAGCCGCGTACAGTCTGGGCTATGGCCTGCCTGGGCGGCTTTGTGTGGCCCGCGAGGGCCGACGGGTTCGCTCGTCCGTCACTCGTCACCAGCGACACACCCTGGCTGTCTCTATCCCCTCCTCGGTCCTGGGGGCCCCCGAACGGTGCAGAGACCATGCCGTGTGGTGAGTCAGTGGGTTTCCAGGCTGGCCGCACATTTTTGGGACTTGGGTCGTTTTTCGAGGACGTCTCGGGCTACTGGGGCCTCCAATGTCCCAGCGCTATGCGGTGACAGACCGTGGACCAGCCGTCCTCGCCAGGAATCCTATATTACGAGCTTTGCAACTGCAGCAGTTTTGGTATACGCGACTTGGGCTTGAATTACCGCGGCCGCTGGCACCAGACATGCCCACCAGTCATCGAGAGCAAAAGAACCCCTAACCCGAATAACACGATGAAGACGTGGCCTCACTTGGGTCCCCGCCTCCTGCGCACCATAGATCATTAATCTGGGCGGTTTGGTCTGACGCATCTGCAGAAGAGGCCCCCTGACACTTAGGCCCCCTCCCCCAAAAAGGCCAGGGACACTTTTACCCATCGGTCGTCGAAAGTCGGTATTCTTGGACTCTCAGATTCCGATCTACTTTAAGTGCCTTCCTACTTCAATGATCTAGAGGCTTCACCTTTTCCGTTCTCCTTCATGTTCCTACGTTTTATTCCGACCGATGGGTATTGCCTATCCTCCAGCGCGGTCCGTCGGAAGCTCGAGGCCGCCTTACGGTCCGCCGCCGCACCGCCTCGGGACCTCACAACAGGGGCCGCGGCGCGGGGTGCGCCTCGGGGCCCCCCCGCCGCCCCCGAGCCCTGCCGCCCCCGCGCCGAGGGGCGCGCCGAGGGGCGGCACGCCGAGGTGGCCGCCCGGGCCCCGCGCGGCCAGGGCCACGGCCTCGGGCTGCACCGCGTGGCCGCCGAGCGCCTCGAGGCGCGGCAGCACGCCGTCCTGCGGTGCGGGGCACGCGGGCTCCCCCCCCGTCCTCGGCGGAGCGGCGGAGGGGCGGCGGGGCCTCGCGCGGCCCAGTCGCGGCGGCGGACGCACGCAGCCCGCCTCCAGAGGGATGCCGCCGGGAGAGCCTGCGCCGCCCTGCGTTTTCCAGGGCCGCCCGTGCCCGTGCCCGCGGCCGCGGGGCCGCCTTTTCGCGCATGGGGGCCGCGTTGGGGCTCGGGAGGGGCTCCTGGTTGTCGGGCCAGCTCTTTCGCCCCCGCTACCTGCCGCAGGGAGTCTAGATGCAGGCGCACGGCTTCAAGGAGTGTCCGATCTACTAAGAGGTTGCCGAGGTGCTGCTACAGGGCGCCGAAGGCGCTGACGACGACGGCGAGGCCGCTCCTTCAATCCAGGTCGGGGCGCACCTCTGCTCGTCGCTGGGGCTCGGCGTGGCCAGAGAGGCCTCCGCGTTCCCCCTTCGGCGCTCCACCCTTGGTAGCACGATATTCGCGGCAGGTCCCCGTCGTAAACAACCCGGAAGGGAATAAACGCACAAACGGAGTTCATCATCGATTCCCAGGAACATCGGGGGAATTTCTGGGAAGTGGGGGGAGGGCGAAAACTCAGAAAGTATGGGACAATATAAAGGGCATTCGGGGATGTGTGTCTACTTGTTTGTGTGTCCCTGGGCCCCGCCCACCTTTGCTAGCGCGATGATAACTGTAGGCCCCCGTCGTGTCGCGCGCGGGCCCAGCGGCAACGGGCCCCGGAGGTGCTTCGCCGTTGTCGGGAGGGGCCCTCCGCGGGCCCATGGGGCGACACGTTGGTCCCCGGCGATAGCGCCAGAGCCTAGGACCCGCTTGCTTCCTGCCAAGAATGTTCGCCTTCGCGCGCGGGGGATGCGCGATCGCGGTCGGGCGCGTCGCCCGCCCGCTTCGGTTGCCGTTGTTGCCCGCGTCCTCGCTTCCCCTGGCCCTCCCGTCGTTGTCCTCGCGCCCCCTCTCGTCTGCAGTTCGGGTTTGGGCCATCGGCGTTGGGCATCGCTCGGCGCTGCTGCCAGAATCTCGCGAATCTGGCCATTGCGCCACTCCCCGCCACTTTCGCCCCACGGGCCTACGAATTTCAGATCTCGCTGCCGGTCTCATGGGCCAGAGGTTCTGGCCAAGCATGCCCTTGCTCAGCCTCGTTGTTGCACGGTCGTGTAAGACACCGCCTTCCACTTTTCTATGTTTTTTTTCCACAGCTTCCCCTTCTCCCCCCTCTTCGCCCTCCCCCGTCTTATCTGTCTCCTTTTTTCTCCCTCACTGCTCCTCACATCCCCCCTCCTCCCATTCATCTCATTCCTTTGCCTCTCCTTCCTTCCCCTCCGTGGCCCTTCGCCGTCTCCTCTTCCTCCTCTGCCTCCTCCCCCTGTTATCCTCCTCCTCCTCCTCTTCCTCCTCCTCTTCCTCCTCCTCTTCCTCTTCGTCCTCCTCCTCCTCCTCCTCCTCCTCCTCCCGCCTCCCGCGCGCGCCCCCTACCTTCCACCCATCATCCCCTCTCAGGGGGAAGATGGAGGAGCGGGCGCAAGCAGCAGGAGGAAACATGACGGCGACGGCGACGACTCTGAGGCTGAGGCTGACGCTGACGCTGACGCTGACGCTGACGTTGACGCTGACTACGACGATGACGACGACGACGACGACGGCGACGACGACGACGACGACGACGACGACGACGACGACGGCGACGGCGGCGGCGGCGGCGGCCCGCCCCTGAGGGCGCACCGCCGCGGGCTTCCAGAGCGACGTGTGGCGCTGGGAGTCGTCCGGGCCCCCCCGCACCGCAGCGCCCCGCCGACGGGGGAGGGCGAGGGCCGGGGGAGGCAAGGCGAGCGGGGCTACCCTGACTCCAGATCCGCCCTACTTTGGCTTTTTCTCCAACTTAAAGTTGCTTCGGAAATCCACCCATGAGAGGCCGAAGAAGTAGGGCGGAAATTGCTGCACCCGGCATAAAATAGGGCGGAAATCAACAAAAACAGCAACAGAAAAGTAGGGCGGAAATTGGCATCAGCGGGGCTTGAAAAGTAAGGCGGAAATTCCAAGCCCCACTTACGAATTTCCCCAAAGTAGGGCGGATCCGGAGTCAGGGTAGGGCTCGATTACACGTGAGAGTGACCGTTCGCTGGAATGACCTCTGGTGCGCGCCCAGTGGGGTCTCCCAGTTGCTGATCGCGAAGGGCTCGCAGCGGCTGGCGCGCCCAGGTTTTGCCACCCCGCGTCTCCCGTTGGCCGCGCACCAAAGGTCACTCTTGCCTAGGGTGACGTCGGGCCTGTCCCCCCACAAGGGGGTTTTGGACGAAACATAAAACATAGTCGAAAAATACAATAAAATATTCAAACATGTTTTTTTGAAGATTCCTCCTGTAGAGGGGCAGGCCTGACTGAAGCCTAGGGTCACTCATGCGTGTTCCACAGCGTTCCAGAAGGCTCTCAGAGCGTTCCGGAACGCCCTGAGAAGGCCGCGGCGCCCGAGGCGTCCTGCGGAGCCGCTGCCAGAGTTCCCTGCGGCGCCCCGCCGACGGAGGGAGGACGAGGACCGGGGGTCGGAGGAGAAACAGGTAACCACACTGCTACCCTTAAGTCGGGCCTGTCCCTTTACAGGAGGAATATTCAGAAATAGTCAAACAAATTCTGGGGACGATTGTTTGACAATTTTTGAATATTTTGGGGTATTTTTCGATTATTTTTTATTTGTCGTCAAAAATCCCCCTGTAGGAGGACAGGCCCGACTTAATGCTACCCTTGCCTCGTTTTTCGTCGCCCTCCTGGGAGGCCCTCGCTGCCATGGCTGGATTCGCCTCGACATGTTGGTCAGAACGCACCCCGGGAGACGTCCGGGCAGTAGCTGTATGGGTATCTTTTGGTGTCCCCAAGGGGTGCAAGCCGAATGAGAAATTGTCGCATCACCGCTTGGCTAAACTGCGAGTCAAGAGCCCCAGTGTGTTGCACACCCCCCGCGCCCCGGAGCTCAGAAATACTGAAAGTTGTTGTGAACACAGGCAGCCGATAGCGAAAATACGATAGGCCGTGTCAGTAAGCGTGTTGAGTCTAAGTGGATATGTCTGGTGCGAGCGGGGTTTGGGGCGGGGCATCGCTTCGGTGTGCTTTGGCAATCAGACGTTGCAGGCGTCCTTCCTGCAGCCGAAAGGAGGGGTGATTCATGAAGATGAGGGTGAGGATGATGAGGGTTCGGAGGAGGATGTAGTCAGCCTCCTCCACCCCGTGTGGAGGAGGGAGGAACAGGATAGGGGGGGTAGGAGGAGCAAGATCAGGGCAAACCCAGGATGCATCAACGATGCCGCAGTACACACTCCCGCCCCATGTCCCCATCCAACCCTGCCTTTCCAGTGCGGGTAGCGCCCCCCTTGAACGACGAGCGCCTTTTGGGTATACCACTCAAGCGAGACTCCGCTTTGAAAAAGGATCCATGTATCCAGCTGAAACTGGCAACGCGACGATGTAGGATTACCATATCAGAAACTGTCCGGTCATAACCCCTGTTGAAACATAGTTTCTCTCCATTCGTGTAAGTTGTTGCGCAAGTGCAGTGAACTCCGGGGCGTAAAAATAGCAGAGATCTCAGGCGAGAGACATTTCGAAAAGCCATTGCCCTCCATCATCTTCCATCCGTGTTTCATGTTTGCGTGCTTTGGCCGTTCGGGCTATGGAAGGTGATGAGGTATCAAGCGCGAGCCACATTTTGACAATGTGTTGGCCTCCATCCTTGTAATTGTTTCAAGTTGTTGGTCAGACAGAGATGCACGTACGCGGCGCTCAGGCGAAAGCTGCATTCTTTTAAAGTGACAGCAGGCTATCCATCCGTGTCGCTGCTGGAGTTCTGCCAAGGATTAGGGCTGGATGCGGGAAGTCCGCCTCAAGGGAGACGCCCGGCCCGGTGTCCGCCAGAAGCGTCTGGTGCCGTGGCAGGGGACCCACTCGTGAGGATGAGGGATCGGAGGGGGAGGAGGCGGAGACTCGGCTCCCAAGCAGCGCGCTGGCTCCCAAGCAGCGCGCGCAGTGCCGCCTGCCGCTCAGGCTGGGCGGACGAGGCTTGCGCAGCCAGGAGGAGCTCGCGCCAGCCGCCTGGGCCGCCTCCTGGGCGCAGAGCCTCGCCGGCGTCCGGGAACGCACGGGGCTGCAGAGCTGGCTGACCTCGAGACCTCCGGCCTGCCCCTCGCTGCAGCCAGCCGGGAGGCGCTGACCGGGCTGCTGCCAGGCCCGGCAGCCGCGGTGCCGCTGGCCCCGGCAGCCGGGGCGCCGCCGGCCCCAGCGGAGAGGCCGCTGCTCCCTTGGCAGGAGCTCGCCCAAGAACTTCAGGACAAAGTCCAGAGGAGACTCACGCACAGGCTTGATTCAAAAAACTACACAGCCTTGCTGAGCTCCCTGGACGCTGAGGGACGGGCGCTGCTCCGCTCCTGCGGGGGGCCGCACGCACGGGCCTGGCAGCTCGCGAACGGCGGGCCGGGCCAGCGGCTGGACGACGCGGACTACTGCGCGACCGCCCGGGCGCTCCTGGGCCAAGACTGCGCGCCCGCGGGCAGCCGCTGCTGCAACCGCCTGCGCACTGGCGAGCGGGAGAGGCAGCCCTGCGGCGAGCCGCTCTGCTGCAAGGCGCGGCACGCCGTCCGCTGCGCCTGCGGAGGCGGCACGAAGGCGCGCAGCAGGGACGTCGAGGACGTGTGGGACCGCATTCACCAGGAGTGCGGTTTCCGCACGGCCCGGCAGGTCCCGGTCCCCGCATGGGACCGCTGGCGCTGGCGCTGCGCCGCGGCCGGCTGCAGGGCGCGCGAGCGGGCGGCACGCGGCGGGCCGGCTGGCGCTACGCCGACGCCCCGCCGGGCGGGCCTTGCGGCGCCTGCGGGGGGCCGTTGGAGGTCGAGCGCCAGGAGGCGCTGCTCGACCTGGAGCTGCAGCGCGGCGACTGCCCCCGGACGCTGGTGGACGTCACCGTCCGCTACAGCGTTCCGGGGGACGCAGGCGCTCTCGCCGCGGCCGCGGACGGCGACGGCGCGGTGGCCGCCGAGGGGGAGGCGGACAAGCGCCGCCGCTACCCCGAGCGGCGCGCCCCCTGGCCGCTGCTCCCGCTGGCCCACGAGACGGCCGGCCGGCTCGGCAAGGCGGCGCTGAGCCACCTGCGCTGGCTCGCCCGGGACCAGGCGCAGGCGCTGGGCGGCGGGCCGGAAGCCGAGGCGGCCGCGAGCGCCCTGGCCCGCCGCTGGGGCGCGGAGCTGAGCTGCGCGCTGCACCGCGCAACTGCGCGGCAGCTGCGCAGCTCGCTCGGCCAGGAGCGCGAGCTCGCGGCCCGGGCCGCGCTGGCGGCCGAGCTCGCCGGCTAGCGGGCCGGCCGGCGCCGCCGGGCTGCCGCCGCTGCCGGGCGTGGTGCCGCTGCTCTACACCATCGTCGCGCTGCTCTTCTTCTTCCGGAAGGTCGCCGTGGTGGTCAGGAGGAGACTCGGCCCCCCGGCGCGCGGGCGCGCGCACCAGGCACTTGCCCCACCGCCAGAGCACCTACCTGGGACAACGCCGCGCCTGCCCCTGGCCCAGGGTGTCGGCCACAGCGCGCCAGGCCCTGGCCCAGGCCTGGGAGGAGGAGGAGGACGAGGAGGAGGAGGAGGAGGACGAGCAGGACCAGGACGAGGACGATGACGAGGACGAGGAGGACGAGGAGGAGGATGAGGACGAGGAGGAGGAGGAGGAGGAGAAGGAGGAGAAGGACCGGTGTAAACCCAAGAGTCACCAACGATGTTGGAGTAAAGCCTCCCTCCAAGCTCCCTCTTCATAGGCCCCTGCAACGGTTCATTTCCATTGAGGGAACTGCCTCGTTGGAAGACAACCGTTTGAAGACCCTGAAACATGCCGAAACATTGTTCTCGGCATTCAACGCCGCGGATCAACCTGACTGTTGCGTCTTGACGGTCCTGGATCGTGCCAGAACGCCATTCTTGGGATTTCAGCACAACACAGAGAATCAAAGTAATTGTTGCGCCCGCATAATCTTGAACCCTTCCAAAGCACTATTCAGGTACGTTGATGATGAGAATCCGTGAAACTCTTGCAAATTTTGCACGCGAATGTGCGCGGCGCTGAGGCGAGAGCCACATTGTGAAAAGGAGCCGCCCTCAACCCGTGAAGCTCTTGTACGTGTTTAAAACGAATGGGCGCCGCGCTGAGGCGAGAGCCACATGTTGAAAACCGCCCGCTTTCAATCCGTGAAACTCCTGCACATGTTTAAAACGAATGTGCACATTCAATCCGTGAAACTCTTTGCGCGTGTCTTAAAAAGTGCGCGCCGCGCTAAGGCCAGAACCACATTTCGAAAACCACCCGCTTTCAATCCGTGAAATTGCTGCCAGCTTGTAAGCTTCAGAGCCATACGTGGTGAGGAAGTCTCAGGCGAAACGCCCAACCCGCCCTAAAAACTGGCGTCGGGGTGGGACAGGGGGAAGTTGCTTATAAGGAAAAGGAATGGACGAGGAGGAGGAGGAGGAGGAGGAGGAGGAGGAGGAGGAAGAGCAGGACGAGGACAATGAGGAGGACGAGGGCGAGGAGGAGGAGGACGAGGAGGAGGAGGAGGAGGAGGAGGAAGAGGACAGGGACGAGGACGAGGAGTAGAAGGAGTAGGAGGAGTAGGAGGAGTAGGAGGAGGAGGAGGAGGAGGAGGAGGAGGAGGAGAGGAGGAGAGGAGGAGGAGGAGGAGGAGGAGGAGGAGGGAGGAGGAGGAGGAGGAGGAGGACGAGGACGAGGACGAGGACGAGGACGAGGACGAGGACGAGGACGAGGAAAGGAGGAGGGAGGAAGCCGAGCTCGGAGCAGGACAGGGGGAGAGGGGAGCTCCTGGAGCATGAGGGCGGCGGCAGGAGGCAGCCGCAGCAGGAGGCAGCGAGGGGCCCGAGGCGCCCATTGGCCCCCGCGGCGCGCCGCCCCAGGCAGATCTGCTCCTCGGACTGGATAGGCCGCGCGGGAGGGGGGTCCCAGACCTCCAGTACATGGACATTCTATTCGCACCCTGTGGCCCAAGGTGCCCCCCAGACCCCCGAAATTAATATGGATGGCGTGGCGACGGGGGGGGCGTGAGTGGACAGAAATATTCGAACCCCAAAGCACCGCCTGTACTGAGATCAACATCGGTGTCGGGGTCGCGGGGGTGATTTAGAATCTCCCTCAAATGTGTAAGTGTTCGGATATATTATCCATGTACGGTCCCAGACAGGGCCTGGGCAGACGGGTTCGGAGGATCGCGCCGCGTCGCCGATGCATCGGCGATGCGGCTCGATGCGGAGCCCGATTTCCTCCACGCCGACGCCGCCGATGCAGCGACGGCGTCGTCGGTGCATCGCCGAGGCGTCGGCGAGGTGTCGCCGATGCCTCGGCGATGCGGCGCGCTCCTCCGACCTCGTCTACCTCGGACCCCATACAGGAGGCCTTCAGGGGGGGGCAAAGGCGTCGATGGACGGCAGGGGCGTCCCTCGCGGGCCTCGGGACCCCCACGTGGCCAGGGAAGGCGGGGGGGGAGGACGGGCGGGCCGGAGGGCCGCTGTCAAAAGTCCGCTCGGGATTAGTAGCTGCTCCCGGGGTCCAGGACCAGTTTCCACCAGGACACCTCGCCAACGAGTGAGCTGCCTCATGTTGCCTTAGGATAGGTGCGCGCGGGGATGCGCATTTGGCGCTGGTGGCGCTCGAAGGGGTGAAGGCGGGGAACCGGAGGGTTTGTTTTGGGGCCAGTCCGCGGCGCCGATCGGGCCGAAGTTTGCGCGTTCTTCCGAAACACGGACCACGGCACACCCAAACTACCGTAAATCACCCAATGTAAGGAGGATGCGGATGAGGATGCGGCGGGAAGATGTGCAGAAGGGGGGAGGGTGATGAGAAAATGAGGCGTAAAAGGAGGAGAGGTGGGGTGTTGTGTAGGAGAGTATGTAGCACCTCGGACAGGTATGAAAGTACGTTTTGGGCAGGTCGATTCGTTTCCTGCGTGGATCCCCAAATTCGCAAAATTAACTCCGGGCCACTGTTTACTATTTTCTTTCACCCCCCATTCGGGGCGGGCCATCGCGCCTGTCGGATTTGCTGCATCGCCGATGTCGCTAGCTCAAATCGGTCTGAAATCAAGGCTTCGACTAGGGGATCGAACACATCATCGATTTACCCCAAAATCGATATTCCGTGGAATCTACGAAACGTACCTGCAATGCTCCGTAGATATACTTGCTCTTCTGCGTATCTTCGTATGGGTTCGACGAGAAAATGAATTTTGGGGTACATCAATTCTGTAGTCGATCCCCTACTCGAAGGCTGTCGCCTTGCGAATGGAGGAGACAAGCTCGCGGTTGGAGCCTTGCGGCTGCGTGGGAGGGGGGGCGGTCGCCGCCGCGCAGCGCACGAGGGGCAATAGAGAGGCGCATAGGGAGGCGGGGGGGGCGGAAAGCAGAGGAGGGAAAGGGAAGCCGGCGGCGAGCGAGGGGGGGAAGTGAGAAGGAGAAGGCCTTCTCAGAAGGCGGCGGGACCTCCCAGAAGCCCTCGCGCCTGCTGAGAAGTTTTGCGTGTGTCTTCGGGGAAGGCTTAGAACACTGTTCAGAAGGCCGGGAGATTTCTGAGACTTTGAGAAGGCCCGCCCTGCTCACTTCCCTCTCGGGCTCGCCGCCGAGGGAGGAGGAGGGAGGAGGAGGAGGAGGAGGAGGAGGATGAGAAGGAGGAGGAGGAGGAGAGGAGGACGAGGAGGAGGAGGAGGAAGGAAGGAAAGAAGGAAGGAAGGGGAAGGGCAGAGCAGCGGGCGGGGATGGCGAGCCTCATGCGGGGGGGCAGGAGTAGGCGAAGGGCGCGTGATTAGGGGCTCTGCGGGACCACTGGCAGCAGATGAGGAGGAGGAGGAGGAGGAGGAGGAGGAGGAGGAGGAGGAGGGAGGAGGGAGGAGGGAGGGAGGAGGGAGGAGGGAGGAGGGAGGAGGGAGGAGGGAGGAGGGAGGAGGAGGAGAAGGGCGAAGGTTCCGATGAAAAGGAGGCACGCCGCCAGGAGTGCACAGGAGGCGTGCGAGCGATCACCGAGGCACTCTGGGGCTCTCTTGTGGGCCACCTGGGGCCCGCGTGGGGTCCTCCCTGGGGGGCCCCCCCCGAGTCTCGCCTGCAGGCTCGGCGGGGCGGGGGGCGGGGCGCGCAGACTCCAGCTTCCGTCCTGCAGTGCCACCGGTTCCCCCTCGCGCTCTCATGCAGGATTTCAGTGGCCTCCATTCCCCCCTGACTCTGCGGGGGGGCGCTGCGACACACCCGGCCTGTACGCCGCCCCTGTCGCTGAGTGCCAGTTTTGCGCGTGCTCGCCCCGCTCGAGGCATCCAGCACGCACAGAAGGACACCTCGCCGGCCACTGAGTGTACATCTGTGCGTGCTGGTTTCACCCGGGACATCCGCGCAAAACGGAGCACGCAGAGGTGTACAGTCGGACCAGGGTATCAGATCGAGGTCCGTCCAGGGATGGCACCCTGCTGTTCTGTGTGTCTGTTGGATGTGCTTGCGCATCCTTGTGGAGGGTATCTTCGAATGCTCTTCATTTTGGCCGGCGGATGGTCTCGTGCCCTTGAAGGATTCTCTTCTGTCTTGGTGCCCTCCCCTCTTGTCCCCTCCCCTTTATCGCCTCGGCCCCCCTCCCCCTTCTTTTCTCCTCTGTAGCATTCCCTTCCCCCCTCCCCTTCTTGCGGCAACCACCGCTCGCTAGAGGATCTTCTTCCACATCGGCCTCCGCAAGCGAGGACGCACACGTGCAGCCCTTTCCCGGTAGCCAGGGGTGTGTGGCACCCGTCAAGGACGGCATACATCGGGAACCAGGGGTCAGTCAGAGCGTCGGACCTTGCAGGATCCTGCAGAGCCAAGGTCGCACTGACCAGGGTTCGGGTGCAGGATCCCGCAGGATCCTGCAGGATCTTGCAGGATCCTTAAGGCCTGACCCGGGTCTGCGTTGACCCGGGTCAGTGAGTCCCCGACGCCAGGCTGAGTCCAAACAGGTCCTTTCCCTTTCCTCTGCGTGCCTCTGCGCTTCGGTCTGCCTCTACCCGTGCCGTTGCCTCTGCGTTCCTCTTGTTGTCCCGTGTCCGTCGCGCCGCTGCGCGATTCCACGCGCGCAGCGTCCGCCGTCTCTTCTGGCCTCCTCTTCCCTCTGTGTCCCTCTTGCTCCTCCCGAATTCCATGCCGCGTTGTATTTGTAGCCGTGATCTGCTCTTCAGAAGAGGAAGAGGCACCTATACTGGTACCCTTGCCTCGTTTTTCCCTTTTTTCGGCCTCCTTCCTGGGCGCCCCTCGTTGCCACCGCTGGAATAGCTTCGAAATTCGGTTCAGAACGCACCCCAGAAGAGGCCCAGGGAGTAGCGGTATTGGTACCTTTTGGTTTCCCCAGTTTTGTGCACGGCGTATGTAAACCGCTGGCCGGTCCCCCCGCGCTTTCAGGTTCTTCTGTGTGCTGGATCCCCCCCCACGGTTGTGGCGGTAGTTCGCGTTGCTCTCTTCAGTGGGGCTCCCGCCACTCCTCGCCGTGAAACATGTCCATCGCTGCCATGATTGGTACCCCTTGCCTTTGCCACGACAGGCGCCCCCCATCGTATGTCGCGAGGCGGTGCCCATCGACCCAGTCCCAACGACGCGCCCACTGCAATTTTGATTGCCTCCCCTGGCCCCCGCAACTAAACCGCCCTTCGCTAAGTGCCTGTTTGGATGTGTTCGAGCATTGGGATGGAGGAGGGATGGAGATGCAGTCAGAGGGGCGGACGTGGGAGAGGGAAGGAGGAGGTGGTGACGAGGACCACGAGGAGGGCCTGTGCGGGTTTCTCTAGGAAGACGACGACGACGACGACGACGACGAGCTCGCGTCGCGTCGCGCCGCCGCTGCCGCGGAGGGAAGTGGTCCGTAGTCACGGCGGCCGCGGAGTTCTCCCCGCGGCAGGGCCACAGCCTGGTCGGCTTCTCTACAGACGGCGCGCGCCGCCCGTCCTGCGCGCTTGCCAACGCGCGCGCCGCAGCGCGCGCGCGCGCGGCGCGCGAGGCCGTCGGATGCCCTCGGAGGTCCGCAGACGCCCTTCGGATCCTCCTCGGATGCCTGACGGCGGCCTGCGGCGGTCTCCGAAGGCGCCTCTGGAGCGCTCCCGGGGGGGGGCCGTCCTCGCTGCCGGCCTCGGTGCGACGGTGGCCCTCGGTTGGCGACGGACGTCGGCCGTCCAGCAGCGTTTTCCTCCCATTCCTGGCAAGGCTTTACTTTGGGGGGCATCTCGAAGGAAGAAACACGATGACCAAGACCGAGGTGTCGCGGGATCTTTTCGACGCCGATCTTCATGGTCCATGCTGGCCGTCGCCGATTCCCGAGGACGATCCTCGAATGGACGCTGACGAAGACTGACGGTGACCAAGATCGACGCCGACATTTCCGCGTTCAGTCTTGGTCTTGGTCCTCGCTCTTTCACTCCAGCGTCGTCTCCCATTGGTTGCACGTGCGTGAGCGGCCCCCTTCGTACGGGCGGGCGGGTGGCGGTCGGACGGGGGGCGGGAGGGAGGGAGGCCTGGTGGAGGCCTCGCTTCCCCAGACGGGGGGAGGACACGACCATGGCCTCGCTAAAAAGCTTCGCCCCACCCCCAACAGAAAGATCGTCCACGAATTCCTGCCCCCACCCCGAAGTTCATGCATCCTGAAAGGCTTTAGCATGTTTGGGAGCCTCGTGCGTGCGCTCCTAGTGATGCGGCGGCGCGCTCCGCACCCATGCCTGCCCGCACTTCCCGCCCGATCCCGGGAGGAGGGAAGCATGGCGGAGGGGGTCAAGTCGCCAAGTCGCACGTCGAGGAGGAGGATGGCGGAGGGAAGGATGGAGGAGGATTGGAGTGGCCGAGTCGCACGTCGAGGAGCATCAGCTCGAGGTGAGCCGCTCAAAGGAGGGCGTGTCTCCGGGCTGGGTGCCCCCCCCCCCCGTGGCTTCGGATGGGGGGGCGGGGGGGGGGGTGGGCGGGCAGGGTCGCGCGCACCCGTTCTTACACTGGCCCTGGGGGAAGAAGAGTCCGCCAATGGTCGGCACACATAGGCTGCTCTGATGCCGCGTCCAGCTCTGCCCCTTCTTCTTCTTCTTCTCCTCCTTCTTCTTCTTCTTCCTCCTCCTCCTCCTCCTCCTCCTTCCTCCGCCTCTGAGGGGCACGAAGGAGATGCAGTAAGAAGCGGAGGAGGAGGTAGAGGAGGAGGAGGCGGAGGAGGAGGAGGAGGAGTGAATGTGGCCCAGCCCCTCCTTCCTCTCCCCCCCCTCCTCCTCCTCCTCCTCCTCATCCCTCTTCTCCCCTCCTCTCCCCTCCCCCTCTTCTTCTCTTCCCCTTCCTGTGCGTACTGCGGGCGCCGAATGAAAGGGTCATGCCTGGTGCAATGCATCTGTCGGCACCAGGCCAGTCAGAAACTCTACGCTCCGATTCCGATTCAAACCACTCGATTGTACCACCTGAGGCCCCACTCCGTCCCTGCGTCCCTCGTGCTCCTGCAGCCCCTCCTCCCCCCCACCTCCTTCTCTCCGGTCCTCCCTCCTCCTCCTCCTCTCCTCCTCCTCCTCCTCCTCCTCCTCCTCCTCCTCCTCCTCCTCCTCCCCGCTTCACCCCCCTTCCTCTCCTCTCTTCCCTCTCTCCCTCCGTCCCTCCGTCCCTCCCTCCCTCGCTCCCCCTCCTCCACCTTCTCCCGGGTCCGTCTCTCCCGCCTCCACAAGATACTACTCTCCGTCCTCACCTGAAGCTGTGCAGAAGATCTCCCGTCCCTTCCGCTTGCTGTTCCTATATGCACACAGGATCTCAAGCGTTGAATTAATTTTCGGATCGGCGCTTTGATCCCGTCGTTCAGAATGGCGCTCTCGCCCAGCGCGGGCCACTTTTCTGGTTCCGAGTCTTGCTTCCTTGTGGTCCACCCCATCATTTTCTCTCCTTCGCATTCCCCTGTTCCTCCCGGTCCTCCCGATCCTTCCGCTTTGGTTCCTCCTGCTGTTGTTCGTCCTCAACATTTTCCTCCCGCTGATCCTCCTGCTCGCCCGCCACCTCCTCCTCCAGTGCACGCAGCTCCCCTTGTTTCCGATTGCGCATAACACGAAGTGGTCTTTCCGTAGGAGTCGCAGGTTGGCTATGGCACGCGTCCGCAGATAGAGAAACCTCAGGGCCACGGGAAGGGATGGGAGGCAGGGATAGGATGTCAGATGAGGCGCGAGCGCACCCAGCTTGCCGCTCCCCCCTCTCCCTCCTTCTATTCCCCCCTCCCCTTCTCCCTCCCTCCCTCCCCCTTCTCCACATTCTCCAGGATCCGTCTCTCCCGCCTCCACAGTTAAACACTATGAATACTACTCTCCGCCCCCCCCTGCAGCTGTGCGGAAGATCCCCCGCCCCCTCCGCGGTTTTTTTTTGTTAATACGTACCGGATTTCAAACGTTGTTTTTTCTTATGTTTTTCGATTGTCTTCGATGGGGCGCGAGCGCACCTAGCTTGCCGCTCCCCCCTCCCTCCTCCTATTCCCACCTCCTCTCCTCCCTCCCTCCGCCCCTGCACTTGGGTCTGGGGCTTTCACGAATCACAGCCTGCCCCCAGAGGGCCTGCCCGTGCTTCCGTTTCCTCGGACGGGGGTGGTTATGGCACCACCGCGCTCACGGAGCCTTGGGCGGCCTTCTTGGATCCTGGCTTCTCCTTCCTCCCTCCTTGCTCCTCCCTCAGTCGTCGCGTCGCCTTTGCGTCCTCGGGGCCCGCACACCGCCCTGCGCGCGCGACCGACCGCGCGCGAGGGACCTCCTCGGTGGCGACCGTGCTGGTGCTCGCCGGGTACGGGGGCTACCCCTACAGGGACGCGGTGGAGGCGCACTGCCTCCCCCCCCCCAGGCAGAGGAGGAGGGAGGAGGCGAGGAGGAGGGGGAGGGCTTCCTTCCCTCCTCTCCTCGTCTGTTCCTCTCTCTCTCTCTCTGTCTCCCTCTCTCTCTCTCTCCCTCTGTCGCTTCTCTCTCGCTTCTCTCTCGCTTCTCTCTCGCTTCTCTCTCGCTTCTCTCTCGCTTCTCTCTCTCTCTCTCTCTCTCCCTTCTCTCTCGCTTCTCTCTCGCTTCCCTCTCGCTTATCTCTCGCTTCTCTCTCGCTTCTCTCTCGCTTATCTCTCGCACTCTCTCCATCTCTTTTTTTGTTCTCTCTCTCTCTCTCTTTATTATATATATACGTATACAAGACTGCATTGGCGCTTCGCGCCATGCGCCTTGTTCCAGACGCTTCCTTGGCAAAACAATGCATCATCGCTTGCTTCAGCAGGGAGGACCTCGAGGCATGGACGGGCGACCCGCCCATTCTTCCGATATCCCTGGTGCCTGCTGACACCGCGTTCGGACGATGCCTTTGCACGCTTGTGCGCAGGAATGGGGACACAATGTCGTTTTTTTCACGCGCGAAGGTCGTCCTTTGAGGAAGGAAGGAACGTTCCCATGACACGCCGAAGAAGTCACAGTAGCTCCGAACCCATCGATGTTTGGTCGCTTCTTGAATGCCTGGAGGGCCCCAGACACCCAGGAAATCTTCGATCGTCGAATTTCGAATCCAGATCCATTGCCTGTCTCTATCGATCGGGGAACTATTGAAACCTCGAGCCTCAAGCGTGGAACCAAGATCGTCGGGTCAGCTTTATGTATTTCGTAGGAGAACGCCGTCTGGTCGTTTTTGGGGCTCTTTTGGGCCGTCCTGGGGCACTCTTGGGCCGTCCTGGGGGCTTCTTGGGCCGTCTTGGGGAGCTGGGGCCCTCCAGAGGCCTTCTGAAGCCATCTAGAGCGCTCTTGCGGGCAGTGGCCTTCTTGGAGGTATCCCATGGCTTTCGGGGGTCTCTCTTGGGAGCCCTCTGCGGGCATCTTGGGTTTCTTGTGGGCAGTCTCGGGGCTCTCTGGGGCAGTGTTGGGGCCCTCTCGGGCCGTCTTCAAACCCTCTAGGTGGCCTCTTGGCCCGTCTTGGGGCGAGATCGGGGACCCATTGGGCCGTCTTGGACGCTGCGAAGACCCAAAAAGCGGATACGCAAAACAAATGGATTTCCTGACGGAATGTGACGATTTTGGCTTCTTCGGGGCTCTCTTAACGGCCTCTTGGGGTGTCTTGGGGGCCTCTTGGGCCGTCTGCAGACCATCGAGGTTCCTCTTGGAGCGCTCTTGCGCTGTCTTGAGTCTCTCCTGCGCCTCTCCGACGACCCCTCTGATCGCCTTCGGTCGGTTCGCAAGGCCCAGCGAGGCGCCGTGGGAAGCCCAGGAGGGCCACCGAACCTCTTCCAAGGGCGTCCGGGGGGCCGCCGAGATGCCCGAAAGGGCGTCCAGAGCGTCCCTGGGGGGGGGGGTTCGGTTTAGGGGGGGGGTCCAGGTAATAAGAATATAAGAGTAGGAATATTCCCTTTCCTATATTTTTGTAAGCCTGGGCGGGGGGGAAACCCGTCACCCCCCCTCTAAAACCGGGTCCCCGGGATCTGGGGTTTTGGGACCCTCTGGACGGACCTCGAAGCGGCCCTCCGGGCCTCGTAGGGCGTTTTGCCAAGCCAAGCCTTCGCAGCACACCCAGGGCGATCAGGGGGGTCACCGGAGACGTCCCAGAGGGCCCCCAAGACAGCACAAGAGCGCTCCAAGAAACCGTCATACCCCGAAAGATCGTTCCAAAACGTACCAAGAGGCCTCCAAGAGCACCCCCAAGAAGGCCCCAAGAGGCACAAATCATGGATTTTCTGTTGGTTTTTGGTGCATTTGGGGATCTCCTCTTTTCGGATTAGGGACGATCCAAGACGGCGGTCTCCTGGGCGTCCGAAGCCGCCTGGGAGGCTCCAAAATCGCTCCACAACCATCAAAGGGCTTCCAGGCAATCCAAGAGAGCCCCAAAACGGCTCAACACGGGTCCAAGATGGCCCTAAGAGAGCCCCATGGCGGCCCAAGATGGCCCCAAGACACCCTCCGAAGCATCCCAGATCGTGACCGGGGCGTTCAGGGAGACCGCGGTTAGAGGCAGGTTGGCCTTAGGAAGCCCCAGAGGCCCCCAGAACACGCCCAGGAGGCCTCCAGAAGGCTTTAAGAAAACCTGAGAACTTTGGTGAGGCCCCCAGAGACTCTCCAAGGAGGAGCCTCCGCAAAAAGAGCTGAGGAGGATGGGGAGAATGCCCAGGGTATGGCGAGAATGAGGAAAAATAACCATGGAGGAAGGATAACGCACAACATTGTTACAACGGCGATGCCAGAAAAGGCAGCAAGGAGTTATCGCTAAATTGTCGGCCTGACCTTCCTGCCATCTCCGCCTGCGTACCAAACTTCAAGGACCAAGGTGCATGGCGCGAAGCGCCACTGTAGTCTTGTGTATATACCTATATATATAAAATATATATAGGGAATCTATATATATATACACATATCCGTAGCCATTTTGGCTCGAGCCCTATCTGGCCTGGGCCCGAGCCCCTCGAGGACAGCGCGCGGCCGCGGAGCGCGGCCATGGGTGCAGACCCCCGGCGGTGTCCCTCGGCCTCCGCACGGGCGGGCTGGCCCCGCCCCGCCCCCCGGGGTGCAGCTCGTCTGCGCCAGCCCCCCCTCCCCCTCGCGCCGCCGAGTCCCGCGCCGCCGCGCCGGCCTTAGAAGCCAAGTGAGCCAAGCAAGGGAGCTTAATTAAGTGCAATCACTTCTGGGGGGAAAGCATGTTCTCCCCTCCTCCTCCCCCCTTCATCCTCATCTCTCCTCTTCTCTCCCAACAAAAATAAATTGTTTTTCCCCACCTAGGCTCTGCCTAGAGGGTTCTTACTCTCTTTCTTAAAGAGGCCGGGCAGTGGAAATCGCCCCGGGCGGTTCCCCCGGTATCCGCCCAGCGGTTCCCCGAGTTGCGCCCCCTGGGTTCACCCAGTTTAGCTTAGCTAAGCTTAACTTAGCTTAGCTTTGCCTAGTTTATATCATATTAGCTTAGCTTAGTTTAGCTTAGCTTAGCTTTGCCTAGCCTAGCCTAGCCCAGTTTTGCTTAGCTTAGCTTAGCTTAGTTTATCTCATCTTAGCTTATTTTAGCTTAGCTTAGCTTGGCTTAGCTTAGCTTAGCTTGGCTAGGCTTAGCCTAGCTTATCGTAGCTTAGCTCAGCTTAGCTTAGCAGCTTAGCATAGCTTAGCTTAGCTTAGCTTAGCTTAGCGCATCGCAGCATAGCGCAGCGCAGCATGAGCACAGCATAGCATAGCATAGCATAACCAAGCATAGCATATCATAGCACAGCTCAGCATAGCATAGCATAGCATACCATAGCATGTCATAACATAGCGCATCATAGCATGGCATAGCATAGCATCGCATAACACAGCGCAGCATATCATAGCATATCACAGCATAGCATAGCATACCATAGCATAGTATACGGCATCATAGCATAGCATAGCATAGCATAGCGCAGCATACCATATCATAGCATCGCCTAGGATAGCATAGCATAGCGCAGCATAGCATAGCATAGCATAGCATAGCGCAGCATAGCATAGCATAGCATAGCATAGCATAGCATAGCATAGCATAGCGCAGCATAACACAGCGCAGCCGAGCGTACCCTAGCATAGCATAGCATAGCATAGCGCAGCATCGTGCAGCATAGCGCAGCATAGCAACGCAAGCCATAGCAAAGCATAGCACAGCGCAGCATAACATATCATAGCACAGCATATCATAGCAGCAACACAAAGGCAAAGCAACAGCAGCAACAGCAACGCAACGCACAAGCAACGCAAATCATAGCATAGCTTAACATCGGTGTAGATGTAGATATTGCTTGTGGGTCTAGCATGGCATAGCATAGCCTAGCATAGCAGGCATATAACGCAGCATAGCATAGCATAGCATAGCTTAGCATCGGTGTAGATGTAGATGCTGCTTTCCTGAATGCCCCAACTCCTAGGTAGGGTCGCACTGGGATATGTTTTTGTTTTTGTGTGTGTGTGCGTGTGTGCATTTCGAGCTTACTTGTGTGCAATGTTGCGCGTGTCTTTCTATGCTATGCAAGCGCTAAAGAAAAAGACCGACCAAACAACGAAAACCCACTGTTGGACAATTTTTCAAACCTCAAAAATGACCCTAAACATGACCAGCAATAGAGAGCAGCTGCTGTTCTGGTACATGAGAGAATACCTCGAGAACTCCGATTTCTGAGGGCTGCGGCCCATTCCGCCCATCCCCCCGGGGACGCGCAGCGGCGCGATGGTGGCGGTTCGTTCGTTCGTTCGTTCGTTCCTTCAAATGACCAAACATCGCCCTCGCGCCGCCGTGCCCCGCGCCGCCGCTCCGGCCTCTCGAGCAGGAGCGGTGCCCCCCGCGCGGCCGGGCCGCCTCGGCGGCCTCCACGCGGTGCCCGGCTCCAAGGGGGCGGCGGTCGCCTCGAGCCGCGCTCCGCGCCCCCGTGCATCTCGGCGTCGCTCGGGCGTGTGCTTTCTTTTGTTTCCCTCGGCGAGAGCCATCGCCTCCTCCTCCTCCTCCTCCTCCTGCTCGTCCTCCTCCTCCTCCTCGTCCTCCTCCTCCTCGTCCTCCTCCTCCTCCTCCTCCTCCTCCTCCTCCTCCTCCCACCGAGCAAGCAAAAACACGCACGAAACCGACAACTGCACGGGAAAGGGGCGTCCGAGCGGAGGCACGGCATCGGCTAATTACCACATCCTGCGCGCGGCGGCGAGCTCCCATTCGCCACGACAGGGTTCTCCCCGCGCCTCCCGCGCCCGACCCTCCCGATCGTCCAGCCGATCTGCGCGAGGGCCTCCCCGCGCACGGGCTGCTTTTGCACTCCGAGCAGGCCCTCGCGGTGTTCGTGAAGCCCTCCGCGCTCTTCGTGCCGAGCTCCCACGTCCCCCATCC